CCATGACATGTTTTCTGGGTCTCCCAGAGTCCTGTCTCAGGTTTGATCATGGCAGAGAGAAAGGCTGCTTCTTTTCCGATAACCTGAACATTATTTATAACTTGGTTCTATTCTGGGAATATTCTTGGGTGAGATTAAATTCTATATCTTTCTGATTCCAAATTCCATTAAAAACAGTAACAACAACAAAAGACTGGCAAGTTAAACCTAAATCTATCTGGTATGTAAAGTTCTTTCAAGGAATGTGATAATAAAAAAAGCTCTTATGATCTTGTTGCCTGATTTTCCTTCAGGTTTTAACTTGGGAAAAGGCCAATGACAGGGCAAGATTGGGTCCTGGTGACCCAGATGAAGAGCCCCCAGTAGGAATTAGGGGCCAAGATTTGTGTCCCAGCTCAGCCAATGACTGCTGTGTGAATTTAAACAAGTCACTTTGCCATCTGATATTGCCCCTTCATCTTTAAGCTAAGCAGATTAGACCAGGATTCATATTCACAATTATTTGTGGGTCAGAGACCGCTCTGAGATTCTGCTGAAAACTATGGGCCTTTTTCCCCCCAAAAAGCACAAATACAACTATAAATAGAATTCCAAAAGTGTCAGAGGCTCTGTAAAATCCACCCACATATTCCCTAGAGGACTTTAGAATGATTTTTAAGGTCTAAAGTATGTGGTTGAAAAAAAAAAATCCATTTACATTTGCTACTCCCAATGTGAATTAGTTTTAAAATGTGGATTTGAGCCATTTATGTCATTGGAAGTCATAATTACTTTTTTGTAATTTAAAATACTCACAGCAGAGCAAATTTTTCAGTAGAAAGAAGATCTCTTTTATGGATTAATAGCATCTCAGGGTCAGCGAGGTGGTCAGTCCCTCGTGCTGCACAATGCAGGGCCTCCTTCTATGACCCATCTCAGAGATAGACATTTAGACTTGAGCCCATATGGTGATGAGAGCTCACTCACATGTTTATTGCTGGGCAAACAAACAGTTTAGGAATTTTCTTTTCTTTTTGAGCTATAGTCTGCCCTCACCATGTAAATGTCCGCTATTGACCCTATTTCTGCTCTCAGGAGCTACATAGATAAATTTCAGTTTTTTTTTCCAGTCTGTTAGGAATTCAATGGCAGCCTCTTTTGTCCTCTCTTAATTTTCTCTATGCCAGGCATTTCAGTTTCAAATACAATTGTTCTAGAAAAGTGATTTCATAAGACTACTTTTAATCTCAATTACCTTCTTCAATAGAACTCTTGAAACAGAGAGCTCACACTTAGTAAGTATATTCCAGAAAAGGTCTGACAACCCACGGTTAGGGAGTCACTCCTGCTGCCTGCTGCCTGATGTTAGGAAGGCTGCTGACACCACCAAGAGCCTGGTCCCTAAACAGGTGCCTCTGCTGGGTCCTGTTGGAATTGTGATCACCTGAAACCCCTAACTATAATCAATCGACTGCCCTCATTCTCTATTTCTTAAAAGCAGAGTAATCTTTCTAAAAGCAAAACTCCCTGTTGGCCTGCACCTGACCCGCATCAGCCTCTTCCCCGCTCTTAGAAAGCTTTGGGAATACTAGTTGTGTCCTTCATCATGCCATCTTTCCCTCCAAGTGTTGTGCCATCTACAAATGTAAATAAGCCTGCCCTTTTTTTCACTCCAAATTAATTGATAAACATATTGACCCATGGCTTGCCAAATACAAGCTTCCCTCTGTGGATTCATTATTCATCCTTCTTCGCTCTGTCACTTCCCAGCTTCATCCAACTCACATTTAACTGCCTGATCTATAGAATGGAGAAGAGCAGGAGGATTATGTCCTGTTTGGGGCAACATTTATTTCCTTTCCTTTTCTTTTTTTACTCATTAGTTTCCTTTCCTCAAACTCTGTTTTCTTCATTCCTTCATGGGTTCATATGGCATATCTTGGTCTTACATTTGGTTCCTTATCCTGTGTTCATTTGCTATGGAGAAGAGAACCTCCATTGTGTTTTTTGGGATCTCTTGGCCTTCTGCTTTGTGCAGGGCTGGCTGAGTCTGCGTTTGTTCCAGGAGGCTCTTTGCTGTATGCTGTGCCGAGTCAGTCCTGTGCAGGCGAAGTGTTTCAATATATGCTCGTTAGCATTCAGCAGAGGTGGCTCTGGCTCTGAGGATTTTCGCAGGCTCCCAGACCAAGTTATTTTCTTCCACCTTCAGAATTACCTTAATATTAAATGAAGGTTTAAAGAAAATGTAAACACAAAGTATATGTGTGTTTGGGAATAGGAGGAGGGCGTGGGGAGACAGAAATTATTAGAAAGTCCTCATAGACCTCACACTTTAATCTTAGTACAATTGCATCTGTAACCAAACAAATATTACTGATAGGAAAAAAGATTCAAGACACAAGTTAACCAACTATCCGTTATTCAATGGAAAGATGACACGAATGCAAAGTGCTTTGAGAACCAAGGAATGTGTGGTTCTGTAGAGACGTTCATGATATCACCTCCCGTCTTTCACCTAGAAACAGTTAATGTCACACTTGAAAAAGGCTAAAAAAGGCATCCTCCAAGGTTTGCCCAAGTGAGTGATTTTACTTTTAAAAAGGCTTCCTCATATAACTTTGTGACCATTATTGGGTTATAAAATAAATTAAATATGGGTCAGGATAAGCAAGTAGGCCTATACTCAAGTAAGGGAAGTAATTGACTAATGGTTTAGTAAGTTGGACTTTTTGGTTACCATATTTTCTTGATGTTTGAGCCCCTCATATAAATGAATCAATGTTGCCATTAAGTTATTAACTCTAATTTAAAGAAAATTGTCTTAAGCACAACTTTGTTACTCTGTAGTTACCTTGTGGATGAAAGGGATGAGCTCTAGAGGTAATAGAACCTTTTCAAACTGAGAGAGGCACAGACAATTTCAGCTTAGAGTGACAGGTGGCTGAATGATTATTGTGCTTTAATATTTCAGAGTCAATCCCAACATTGTCTAAGCAAGGTTAATAGGTACTGTAAACCTATAATAAATCCTAGAGAATGACAGGAAAATCTATATCAACATCCAAAAAGCTAAAGGTGAAAATGAGTTAGGGTCTCCTGACAATGCAACTTTATGCCTCATTCACTATTTATTCACTTAGTCATCAGTGTATACTGAGGAAATATGATGTGTCATAACTTCTTTTAAAACCACGCCATCCTTATAACCTTGAACAAATTACTTCCCTTCTTCAAGTCTAAATTTCACCATCCAGGTATTTCTGTCATGGAGTTGTGAGGTTTAGTGACTAAGCTATGTAAGACTCTAGCAGAGTAACTGATTGGATGCTTATTGAATGAATGAATTCCCTTACCTTCTCCTTAACATTTAGACATCTCCCTCCCACCCTGTAATTTATAATAATATAAAATAAGTTCCATTTGTTAATAATAAATGTCCATCTACAGTTTTGAGTCAACAGGAATTGTGAGGGATCTGTGTTTGCAGATGAAATTAAAGTATTTAGATATTATTACAACTGATCAAATATTTTTGCAAGATAATCCACCAAGCCCAAGGATGTCATTCTTTGCCAAACAGCACTCTGAGGCTTGCTGACTGCAGTAAATGCAAATCCACACTTTGAGTTTCTTTGTTTCATAGCAAACATGAGCAGTGACTTCCTTTCATTTATCAATTCTAACCAGAATATTTTTCAGTAATACTTAGAAAAATCTTATAAACCAATTTTCTAAAATATAAAATATGTATACAATTTTTCATGTTAAGTAGCAATGGACACATGAAGTGTCCACTGGTATGATGTTTTAACAGAACAGACCCAAGTGAAACAGAAGGTAATTCTGTAGATTTTGAGTATATAGTTGTGGTAGTTGCCTTCTGGTTTATACTCCAAATTTGGGTTAATTTTGAAATCTTAAAAAAAGATATGCCAAAGACATACACCAAGTTATTTATTAATTATATCAGTCATTTATTCAGTCAATATGGATGAGTACGTACTATTTGCCAGGCATTGTGCCTGAGACCCCAAACTGAAACTATGTAATCTTGACATCAAGAAGTTTGCTCCAATGAGAAAGATATGTGAACAAATCAGTTCTATAAACTAATTGATACAAGAGAAAATGATCCAAGAGCAGGAGGGAAATATGAGAAAAAGCTAGCCAAGTCCGCTTGGGGAAATTAGAGGAGCTTCCCAGAGGAGGCAAGCTGAGGCGGAGGCATAAGCGGGAGATTATCAGTGGGGGAGTAGGAAGAAGCTATTTGGCAGGGAGAAGGCAAGGAGAGGAGCATGGAGGCTGGAAGGAGCCCGGAATGATCAGGGAATGTGGAAGAGTAGGTTAGTGTCCCTAACTAGTAACTCATAAATTACTGTGAAAGGGGGAAGCAGGAAGGGCTGGGAAGGAATGAGGCCAAATAGGTGGGGAGAGGCCAGGATCTATCAGCCTGTGGAGCAGGCAGAGGGTGCCAGTGGGTTGCCCCTCTGTGGGCGGTGGGGGAAGTTATTGGAGAATTTTGTCTATGGAAGTTTCGTAATCAAATGAATATGTTCTGATTCCTGAAGGAGACTAACAATATTGTGATTCTTTTGTTGTTTACAAGTTACAGAAATGGTGCACACCCTTCTTTGTTCCTAGGGGTTTCTTCAATGATTCTGCTTGTAATGAAGTTCAGGGATGCCAAAAGAAATATTTGAGCTAAGTAATATATCAGAATTACAGTAAGAGCCTGTGAGCAGATTTTTAGTTAACAGGTTTTTAATAGGCTGTGATGCAATTCTTAATGGAGAAGATTTAATTATAAAGGAAGCCTGTCTCTAATGGAAATTTGGCTGGTGTGTTTTGATTTCTCAGTGAATTAAAAGGTTTATATAGGGTTAGATGGTTGAAATTCTTGGAGAAAACGTGTCTATACCAGCGAAAACTTTCCACTCATTTTGTTTATCTCTTGCAGCAAAGCAATGAATCTGCTAGAAATAAATTTCACTTAAATAGAGGATAATTTTTTATAATTTCAGGGGTTAAGCATCTGAAAGGCCAGAATGAATCAGCATTCCCTGAAGAAGAAGAAGGTGTAAACGAAAGAGAGGAGCAGTGGGAACATTAATTACGGGTCTGCAGCAAGAAGGCTTCTTGGGAATAACTGAACCATTAACTTTTCTGAATATCCCATGGAAGGCCACTCCTTGATTGACCTCCAGAAGCATTCTCCACCTCTGCTCTCTACACTCATACAGTAGTAATACACCTCCTGGGAAGCTCTCCTTGACTGAACTTTAGAACCAAGTACAGATTGTTCGATATTACTTAAAATTAAAGAATAAGCATTTATTTTATGGTGATTTTTCTTTTTAATGACATTTGCATAGACATTTGCAAATATGTGAGTGTTCTAACTTTAATACTGCAGAGCTTAATCCCTGATGTCCTACTGATGTGATTTGCCTTCTAAGGTCAAATGTAAATAGCTTCACTTTAAGAGTAAAAAATAAATATTAAATACATTTAGACATGGTGTGTCTGGGTTTAACTTACAGAGGAATATTTTAAGGAAACTTTTTTTTTAAAGATTTTATTTATTTATTTGACAGATAGAGACATGGCGAGAGAGGGAACACAAGGGGGGCAGTGGGAGAGGGAGAAGAAGGCTTCCCACTGAGCAGGGAGCCCAATGCGGGGGCTTGATCCCAGGACCCCGGGATGATGACCTGAGCCGAAGGCAGACACTTAACGACTGAGCCATCCAGACGCCCCTTAAGGAAACTTTTAAGTTTCATTTATCATGTTTCTGTATACAGAACAGTATGTGGTATTTATTTCAAAATGATGAAGAAATGCCCAATTTCTTGATTCAAAAGATCATAATATATTGGTCTTTAGGTATTAACCATCCTTTTTCCTCCAACATGTTAATGGCTAAAGGACTGCAGAATTCTCATTTTTCTGAGCTGTGAGAGATATATTTCCCAGCATTTCCACTAGCTATTAAGAAAGAAAAATGTTAAATCTAAAATAAAATATGCCAAAATCTCCCCTGCCATTTTTTTGGCTATTACTTGAAATATGAGCTATTTCCTATTGCATTTTAAGGAATGATTAGCATTTTATAAATCTTCTATTTTCATCAAATAAGAAATTCCATTAATTCATGCATATAGTCATTCATTAACTCAATAACTATTTTTAATGAGTTTATCTCTGGCAAACGACTTTGCTGGGGGTTATAAAAATAAAGGAAAGATAATTTCTCATCCTTAAAACTGGCAGAGAAGGTAAAGCATCAGTATAAAGCAAGGTTTTCCAGGACAGTATATATATATTTATTGAATAGAGCTTTTGGTTATTCAAAGTTCTGGCCTCCAGGACAATATTAATTATTTTTTTAAAGATTTTTATTTACTTATTTTAGAGACAGCTTAGTGTGTGTGTGAGCAGGGGGAGGGGCAGAGGGGGAGGGAGAGAGAGAGAGAATCTCAAGCAGACTCTGTGGAGCATGGAGCCTGACATGGGGCTCGATCTCACAACCCTGAGATCAAGACCTGAGGGGAAACCAAGAGTCAGTCACTTAACCAACTGAGCCACCAGGCACCCCATTAATGATTTATGGCATTTCAAGGTAAAATATCTATGCCACAAAATTTAGTGAGGATGGTGGAATGCTCAGTTTGGTTCCCACACTGATGATACTGGTGAAGTTCAATGTTTCATGGATGGAAAAAATGAAAACGTTTCTCAAAAGTCAGTAAAGAGGGAACTTAAGATGGAAAGAAAAAAAACAAATGTGAAATCCACTGTGGGATCTTATATCAAGATTCAAAGAAGTAAAACTATTGTTTTTAATTTTGAATGCAAGTTTTACAATATAGAGATTAAGAGAAATATGTGAATCTATTAGACAATGCAGTAGAGATAACAGTCATTTTTCTTAGGATATTTTCCTCAAGAAAGTAAATGCAAAACTCATTGATAAGTAGTATCACCAAGTATGAGTGAGTACTCTGGTTCCAAGTGTCTTTCCTCCTTCCTGCCCTCCTTTCCTCCCTTATTCCCTCCTTCCCTCCCTCCTTCCCTCCATCCCTCCTTCCTTCCTTCCTCTCCTCCTCCCCACCCCCACCCCTAGCCTTTTATGGGTTTTGTTGTTGTTATTAAGCCAGTTTCAATCAAAACTTTCTGGAGTTTCTAGACCACCTGCTGTGACTGTTTGATTTCCTAAATTTCTTTCTACTTAAAACACGATTAAGGCACAGATTTGTTTTACATGATTTTGAATTATTTGTAGAAAACATTCTGATACCCCTAGAGACTATTTGAGATAACCCCAGGGTGCTAAAAAATAAAATTTGCCCTCCCTTTCCTTGAACATACTTTCAAAATGTTTTGTTTTTTTTCAAAAGGATTCAGTCAAACAAAAGAAATCAAAGCTTTTGCTGATTTTGTAACATCATTTGGATAAATAAGTAGCATGGCTTCTGGATTCTTCTGTTCTCTATTAAAAATACAAAAATATAAAAATTAAAAGCATAAGTTTTCCTTAGGAAATGTTGGTTTCTTCCATTCTGTTCTCTACTCTCAAAACAGAGATTACAATTAAAAGCATAAGTTTTCCTTGGGAAATATGTTGGCTTTCTCAGAAATCTGAAGGAAGCCAGCTGAGATAATAGCTTTTCAGTTTCCTTTTCACACAATTATAGTTTACAACAAAATTTTTTCAAGAAGACAACTTGGCTTCAGTTTGGCTGAATGGTCAAAGAAACTTTCTGAACAAAACAAAACAAAAACTTTATCTTTCCCAGACCACATTTATAATATAACATAATGGCTAATAGATGAGCTTTGAGTCACTCTGGCCTGGGTTCAAATTCAATCTCTATCAAATTTTAGACTGTTACTCCATTTGTAAAATGGGTAACATCATACCTACCCCTATAGATTATCGTGGAAATTAAATGAGATAAGACACATTAAAATGCTTAGTCCAGCTTAGGGAGCATTTAGTAATCGGTCCCTATTGTTGTTATCAAGGTGGAAAAGGACCTGATGCTGTCTATCTAAGCCTTACCCAACACATGGTCCTCTTCAACATCACAGACCAGTGATTGATCCCCTCCCTTTTTGATTAACTCCAGCTGAATCCCAAACCCAGCTAAAGAGCTTTAACTATTCTTCTCTGTATGAAACTCCTTCTTCTGTACTTCACCTCCTTGATCACAGCCATCCAGCTCTGTGATGTCTTCTCCCAAGTGGCCTTGTCTCTGTGTTAAAACACCACCAGGTCCTCCCAACCTTTCTCATCATCCTGGCCACTTGCTGTTGGATCCTCTTTAATTGTGTATACTGAATCTAAGAAAGGTTATGTCAGGGAGATATGTTGGGTTTTTTCCCTAATCTCCCTAAACATAAGAAACTGAAGCATAGAATGTAGCAGGGCGGAGCAGAATTCTAGACCAGGATTCTTTCTATTAGACAATAATATTGTAAGCCCTTTTGCTTCCCAGAGTTGGCTAGGGTAAGGGTCTTTATAAAAAACAAAATTCTCAGACTTTTTCTGTTCTTAAAAAAGCTCTCACCATCCATTTTAAATTTTAATTCAATTATGGCAATGTTTTCTACATTGTGGAAACATTATTTTAGGTTGGTAAGGGACAAATTACTTTTATTTTTATACTTATAAATACTGTCATAATACATATTAGAAAAGATACATAATCATGATCTTATTGCTATTGTTGCTTAGGATGAGGCAAGGTTAATGTGTGAATATATTTTAAATCAATTTAAAGAAAAATATTAAATAACCATAGTAGAGGTGGTACCTCAAAATCACCAAATGATATACAATTGAATGAAGTTTGGAAACACTGGTTTTGGGTATGGTCATAGCAAATAAGTGTAAGTATTGTTGAGTTCATTTAATGGCAATATGGATTTATGAATTTATAAATAAACCACTTATATTGCATTAATTTAAAAATTCTGTTTCTTTATCCACATCTAAAAGCAGTGTAAGTGCACACTGAGTAATAGAAAAATCATGTCTAATTACATTAAAGTGTTAATGCTCATAGTGATTTTGAATATTTGCTTTCTCTGAAGATGAAGGAAGAAGAAATGCCCTTACTTTTCTAAGACCCTAATTCTAAAAACCAATTTTCAAAGCTCCAGGTGTATTAATTATTAAAAATGTCCATGCTGCCAAAATGTGAAATCTGTTTAAAGAAATTAAATTATTAGATTTCAAACATCATGATATTCTGGAAAACTAAATATCAGAGGAAGAAGAGTTTTAGGAAAATGATGGAGGGCATCTTTGGTTTTAAGTGACACTGTAAGTAGTTAAGGTGCTAAGGTTGTCAAACATCCCACTAATTCACACAGCAATGGGGGTGAAGGTTTCTATTTTGCAATATTATGTGAATTAAATAATTTACATGAATGCATAGGTACTTGACTGCATTTTGTAAAGAGGCTATCATTCAACTCCAGAACTATTCTTGACATTTATCTTGTGTGTCCTCTTCATTCTGTGGACAGACATTGGTGCAGTCACTTTCCTCCTTGCATTTCATACTTAGTTTATGCAGATAGAGAGACTTGGTCTGTAGAAGGCAGACGAACATGAGAGTAGAAGAAGTAGGCAAAGGAGAGAACTCAAAGAAGCCTAAAAACTTGAGGGGAAAAAAATGGTATTAAATGGTATTGGATTCATCTTCATTTTTTGTTTCTCACTCTACAAATGTGACTTAGTATTTTTTCCCTTTTCTCTTACTTTTAGTAACAATGAGCCTAATTTGAAGCAATGAGCACAGTAAACCCTAGGAGTATATGTCACTAGGATTAGGGTCCTAGAAGTAGCAGAATATTAGAATATGTTTGGCAAATCATTCTTCATTATTATTCAGAACAAGCATTTGACAGCAAATAATAGAAAACCCAGCAAACAGTAGCATACAGGCTGATTTATGTCATGCAATAAAATGTCCAGGACTGGAATTGTGTGGCTCAAGACTCCATCGGGTATCCAGACACTTTTCATTTTCCTTAATATTCTCGAAGTTGTGACTTCATGGTCCCAAGAGAGCTGCTGCCTCAGGCATCCAGTCTGTTCTAAGCAAAAAGAGCAGTGGGAAGAAAAAGGGAAAGAATCTAGCAGGAAAACAAAGTTGTCCCAGAGGCCCCCAACTAATGTCTTACTGGACTAGCGCTGTGCCGTAAGACTACCCCTCAATGCAAAGGAGTTGGAGAAAGTACATATTTTTTAAAGATTTATTTTTAGAGAGAGAGAGAGAGAGTACACATGAATGCAGGGGGGAGGGGCAGTGGGAGAGGGAGAGAGAATCTCAAGCAGATTCCCCGCTGAGCATGGAGACTGACGGAGGACTCAGTCTCACAACCCTGAGATCATGACCTGAGCCAAGAAATCAAGAGTCAGATGCTTAACTGACTGAGCCACCCAGGTGCCCCAAAAGTAAATATTTTAGACCAGGAACCTGGCCACCTTCCAACTCACA